ACCGGTGTGTTATTTGATTGAATAAAGATATTACCTTGACCGATATGAATGACTTGCGAGGGTTGGTCGTAAAGTTCGTGGACAACACTGATAAACATTGAAAAATATATATGAAACTGTTCATTCCGTCCAAAAATCTTACATGTCACTTAAATACTAAAGAACGGCTTCCTTTACTATGTTTTCCGGCTGTTTGCAGAATTTATGGGTCTCTCTTGCTGTTTTTCCGATGTCTAAACAGAATTTTATCACTGCTCCCTGCTGTACTTTTTCTGGAAACGTCCCTTTTTCTAAAATTGCCAATTCTGTATCGTTTATTTTGTAAAATTCCGTGGAAAAGATGGCTTTTACAATATATGCGGTTGACAAAGGTTATAAGAGAATTTTACAAAATAAATGAAATTTATAAAGTGATAAAATAATTATTTATTGATTAAAATTTTGCAGTGCTCTGGGTCACCATCCGAAGTCTAATAAGGAAGCCATAATTGTATTTATAAATTTGAAGTTGAATATAATTCAAAATTTTGTAATTAACACTTAGTAAAGGATTATAAATGCGTTAATAATAATTATCAATGATACTTCTTTTATTTAAAATCTAGCTTGTCCACAAACTTTACGGACAACCCTCGAATTCTTCAGAAATAAAAATGAATGTTAAACACGTGTACTTTGGTCCGTTTTTAAAGATTTTTTTTTCATTCCAGACATTACAAAATGAAATTCGACCATGGTACCACTGTAAGACTAAAGCTGTAATATTTTGAAGTTTTTGAATACATAGAAGTTTGTTTCTAGAAGAGGAAGTCACGATGTATTTCACTGACATTAGATGGCTGACGATGAAAAATAATAATTTCTTTTGCATTGATATCTTGAACAGCATTTAATAAAGTCAATAAGCATACACAAAACATACTCTCCCTCAAACGCTGCCCGTTCTTGTCTCAAATATTTTCAATAGGTAATATCAAGAACTTCTTTTCTCAATTGTATATAAACCACTGTATGTGTTGAATGAGAATAATATGGACATGAAAGTGTAGAAAGGTTAAAACGTGATTCATTCATTCATTGGCCTTCTTTTGCGTCTTCCTTAAAAAGCTGCTTACCTCTCTTTCTTTATCGTGAAACAGATGAGGTTGTTTACTATATATTTTACCTTTTTGTCCTCTCATTCTGCAGAAAATATCACTGATTAAAGTGTAAATGCCATATTCTTTTTTAAAAATGTTCTTTCAATCTACAAGAAATCTTTGTGAAAATAGCTTGAAACTTCTGTGTATCGTTCCATATGACCATATTTCAAAGGTCAATATTACTGGTCATTGAGATATTGATAATGGGAAGCAATGGACACAGCAGTATAAAATATTATCAAATTAACTTGTAAACGTGTTAAAAAATGATTTTTTTTTCAGATATCGCAGTAGCAAATCCCTACACCAGTACTGTGAAGCCATACCCCTTACCGTCACCATAATGCACAGACTTCATAACAATCAGGGGAAAAGTAGTTTCCAAAGGTATTTTGTGCATTTTAAAGGTTTATATTAAACACCCCCTTTTTTTATCTCTTGTCTAAAACAATTTTTGAAATATCGGTATGTTATTTGAGTGAATAAAGATATAATACCTTGGGTGATATAAATTACTTATTCTCCAGAAATAAAAATGAGCGTTAAAGAAGTGTACTTTGTTCCGTTTTTAAAGAATTTTTTTTTCATTTCAGGCATTACAATATAAATAGGACCATGCTACCATTGTAAGACCAAAGCTGTAAGATTTTTTAAGGTTTTGAACACATAGAAATTTGTTTCTAAAAGAGGAAGTCAGGATGTATTTAATTGACATTAGCTGGCTAACGATAAAAATGATTTATTTTACATCGATATATTGAACAGTATTTAATAAAGTCAATACGCATACACAAAACTTATTCTCCTTCTAACGTAGCGCTTTCTTGTATCAAACATTTCCAATTAATGATATCAAGAACTTCTTTATCCGTTGTATAGAAATGGATGTTGAATAAGATATGGACATGAAAGTAAAGAAATGTTAAAACATGATTTATTCATTCATTGGCCTTCTTTTGCGTCTTCCTTAAATAATCGAATTCCTCATTTTTCTTTCTTGTGAAATTGACAATGTTATTAAGTATAGCTGACCTTTTTTTCTTCCTGTTTTACAAAAAATATAAACGGTTTAAGCAGCCCGGTTTAAGGGGGTTGGGGGTTGGGTTGCCACATTCTTTTTCTTCATTTTTTTAATCTACAATAAATCCTTGTTGAAATAGCTTGAAACTTTTATGTGTCGTTCCCCATGACCATATTTCAAAGGTCAATATAACCGATTTTGATATTTAAAACGGGGAACGCAACTTAATCAAATTAATATGTACATGTAAACGTGTTGTTAAGATTTTTTTTTTCAAATATGGCAGTGGTAAATCTCTTGTCCAGTACATGTATTTGGAGCCGCCCACCCCTCTTTACTGTCCTGTAGGTGACACTCGAACTATAAACTTCATAACTACAGTGTATATTTGAAAAACCACAATTCAAAACAGTTTTTAAAAGTAGTCTTTACATTTTAAAGGGTATGTTTCAAATTATACTTCAGCAGTTTAAGTCATTTTTCTTGTAAGTGTTCTAAGATTTTAGAAGAAAGCCAGTTTTTCTTCAATTAAAAATTAAAGCTTGTATCACGAGCCACACGTGATTATTTGTAAAAATATTGACATGAATCAGTTTTACATCAATAGAAAATATAACAATAGGAAATTTAAAGGTATATTAAGGCAACATCGCATTGACAGACAACGCTTTCCAAATCGGTTTTGGAGGAGAGTGTTTTAAATACATTCTTTGGTCTACATTTTCATGCTTACGAATAACAAACTTCCCTTTGGGTTTTGAAAAAAAGGATACAGTTGCTTAAAGTTGGGTTGCTTGAAAAGAAAAAAAAGATGACATCTACTAGTATATAATAATTTGTGAAATGGAGACGGATTGGATACTTATTTATTTTGTTAATTTGGTGTGTGTTTCAGCCGTCTTCAAAGGTAAGTTATTTCTTAATTTAACCATTTCATTGTTGAGAAATGTCGAGAGTACCTTAAAATTTTGATACTATATTTTACCATAATAACAGAAAGATTGAAAAACTATCTTGAGTAATTTTTTCTAATTAACTTATACACTTTTTTGTTTCTAAACTTAATTTTCATTTCTGTTCAGAGAACTTTTTACCACAGAGAAGGTAGATAACATTTTTACACAATTACACTGTCATTTTATTTTACATAGAGTTAGCTACAGAAAGTCTGTTAACTATTTTAAAATACATATAATTATGTGTTATTATCATGATAATTTTTTATTTTCTCAAATGGAGGAATCTTTTATACCGGATTCTCCACCCTAAAAATCATAATCCTTTCAATGTCCAGCTTTTAAAAAATTGGCTCAGGGATGTAAGGATAAAAGATGAGATCGAATAACACTCAATGAAAATTACTTTCAAAAATAAAAAAAAATGGTTGTAACAATTGTTTTTAATTTAATTTACAATAGCAATTGTCCTTTTTACGACTTACGGTGTCAAAACTTGGTTTAAAGTCATTTAGAGTGACAGGGGCGTAAAGGATCGTGGTATTGTGTAAAAGTGGACCAAGTTGAGGCTATTGAAACAAATAATTTCTAATGTATTCTATTCATAAACGTTAAATCAATGAGTGCAACTACATGAATTAGCTTTTGGCAAGCAAAATTGCATGTACATGCATTTTGAAAGTGTATGCACCCAGTATCACCTTCTTATCCCGATTAAAATTGCATTTTTTATTAGATTCTTGTTGAAAAATCAAATTGTATTTAGTATATTATTTGCGTGCGTCGTTCTTATCAGGTATTTATTAATCAATTTTTCACTGACTTTTTTTATTCGATGCATATTAATGAATGCAAGAACATAAATAAATGAACATTGGCATAAATGCAACTTTCCCTTCTCTTGAATTTAATCTTTTGAAACTTCGTTTTTAAAAGACACAATCCACTCTTGGTTCAAGTTTTGCTCACCAAAAGTTATAGACAAGATAATAATGTTATAGATATATAGTCCATCTGCTCATAACTATGTGCAGCATTTATGGTTTAACCTTATTCAATTACAAAGTCATAAAGAATGCGTGTTGAAGACTAAGATCGCTGCACGGCACTGACCTTGTCTGTTTCAGGTTAATGATAAAATTCATTGCTCAGTAATGAGCTCTCATCTTTTTTTTCCAAAAAAGCTACGAAAAGGTTAAATATGCGGACAGACAAAAGACGCATGAAACTCGTTATAACTTTTCCAAATTTTAATGCTAGTGTTTTCAATATCTCCCTTTTATAAGGTTTTTTTAATAATTTATATAACGATCTAGTTTGATACGACCATTAGGGGCTTAAGAAAGGTAGTATGTATGACCATTTATCTTTAATAACAAAAAATACAAAAATGTTACATGACAATGTACCTTCAAAACAAACTCTTGAAAGCCTAACAAATTATTTCATGCAAATTTCAAAATATTTATCCATTGCATTATATGTAATATCCCCGACTCGGGCAACAACTAATTTTAGTTTCAACTAACATATACGCCCTGAATTCAAGTACAGATACTTAATGACTCATTTGTGATGGTCTAAATATCTGTTTTTGATACTACATTTATGAAATGAAATTTTAAAAAAAACCCAGAAGATTGCATTCTACAAATGCTGACAAGAAATTTAAAACTTTGCTACATCAACTTATTTGTCAGTAGTTTCAGTTTAAAAGGGCACAGAGCATCTTCTTTCGTAAGGACTCATCAGAGAGATATAAACATAAATTTGGAAGTAGATGAAAATAAGGTGAAGTGGTCTCATTTGTCATTTAGTGTAGTTGTTAATTGGCAAATTATTTATAGATAATTTTTTTTTTTACCAGATGTGGTATATATAATGGACAAATCTGGGAGTGTGAAGGAGACAGACTTTGATGAATCCGTGGACTTTGTGTACAACGTCACAGAGTACTTAGCAATCGGTTCATCCGACATGCAAGTCAGCATAGTGGTGTTTTCCTCTTCTTATACCGAGGAATTTGATCTTAATGATCATACAACAAAATCAGATCTACTGAATGCCATAAAGAACTTACGTGGCACAAGAACCACAGGGAGAACCTATACTTATGACGCAATTGATTACGTCAGGGAATATTCATTCACGTCTGCAAAAGGAGGAAGAACCGGAGCCAATAGAACGGTTGTGATTTTAACAGATGGACTGTCTAATAATGGAACTCGAACAATAACAGCTGCAGACAACCTTCGGACGGAAGTCGGAGCAGAGGTGTTCGCTATAGGAATAGGATCGACAGTGTCCAAGTCAAATGAAGAATTGAAGGGAATTGCCAACGACCCTGATTCTTATTATGTCCACTATATTGATACCTTCGTCTACCTGTGTAACCTGGTTCCAGCTTTGGTTCCAAAACTTGGTATGTCAATTCACGACTCTTACTACCTGTTAATTCAAAAATAACATTGACTTTTGAAAATAAGAAGATTATGGAATTTGAATCCCACGGATATTGGATGAAGAGAAATGAAAGTTAAAAGTTTTAATTTTCATATAACGTCAGGAACTTAACTTTGTAGCAGTAAAGCTGACTTTGATTTGTTTAAATTTCAGATAGTACCGTGACCCCTACACTACTCGCTGATTGTCCTACCCCACCAACCACAACCCCTGATCCTTCCATTACAACAACAGTACAAACTACTGTTACATCTACAACATCAACTACAGCCTCATCCACAACATCAACTACAGCAATAGCTGATACAACAAGTACGACAATTGCTGATAATTCAGGTATGACAACGACGGTTGATACAACAACAGAAAGAGATACCACTTTAACAACAAAAACAACAGAAACAGCTACACAAACAACAGTACAGACACAAAATACAGGTACAAGAACTCACAAGAATGTTTAAGGTTTAAAAAAAATCTGGATTAAAGACTGTCAACATAAGGGAGCTTCTAATGTATTTTTGACGAAAACGAGTCAAATGCATGATTTATACTTTCAATAATCGTTATTTCCTACCCTACTGTTTCCCAGGTAACAGCGCATCTTCCTCCTCTTCTGAAAGTGGGTCATCAAGTAAGTGAGCATTCTGAAAGAAACAATCTTATATTTGACACAAAATTATAGCAGTTATGACCATGGACTCTCATTTTTTAGGTAACACGGCGGCCATTGCAGCTGGTGCCGTGTTGGGAACACTGGCTGCTGCAGCTACCGTTTTTGCCACAGCTAGTCTTCTACGTCGTTGGTAAGATCTCTTAGACCAGTTTACAGTTACACGGTTATAATACAGAAAGCCGTCTTATTAATTCGTAGAGAATCGACTATTTCTACTTGAATAAAATGTTTATACATATGCAGCTAATTACATATATGCCGAAAAAATCCAATATTATTTCATATTATAGTAAAAAAGAGGATTTTCCTCATAAAGTGGAAGTAAAATTATCACTTTGATTTTTAGGCATCTATCAGTGAAGGAGGATCCAGTGGTCCTAGCTGCAGTCGGCCAGTACCAGCAAGCACCTATAGGGCCTTCCAAGTCTAAGTTTAATATTGCATAATATACTGTACAAAGGCATAAAAATAGTGTACAAGGCAAAGAGGTGCTTGATTTTAGAAGTCAAATTGGTTTTGAACTTGTTATCAACAGATGCAAAAAGTCTGTACGCAATATATATATTTCAAGTATTTCTTTTTATGACATATGTTTGTATATTTTTCAAGTATAATAAATCTGTTTAACGAATGCTGAGCGAACTAAAAGTCACAGTGGATGTGAATACCGGTATGTCAACCATATAGTATGCAAGAATATATGCTTCTCCGCAGATTTCATTTAGTCAGCCTGTAAAATGTCAAATGGAGTTTGTCTGAGGTTCAATTCAAATTTTGGAAGTTCCATCAATGTATTCCCTTACCAAAGTAAAATTATTGCGGCAATATTGCTGCTATATTGCGGCAACACTGCAGCAACACATTTTTGTCACCAGAAACAAGCTTTTTGGGTTAGTGAAATATCACCGCTAGCGGCAACAACTTCTGGGGACATTCTGGCTATACTGCCAGAAAAAAAAAACCTTTCTGGCAGTATTGCCAGAATGTTGCCAGAAGATCTAGGATTACCCATTAGGCATTTGTGAGCATGCTCAGTCATTTACTTCCTCTTTTTAAATAAAATGGTGGGAATTCAAAGGCAAGCATGTTTTCCTTCATTATTGAATGGTATCAAGTTAATTCGAGTTGATAATTGTGTACAATAGGATTAGACATGTAGACTAGTAAGACTGAATAATGTGGAACAGCCAGAAAAAAAGAATTTCAGCAGTTTCCATGGCATGGCCTTTTGAAAGAATTATAGGAATGTCCTTCTCTGGTATATAATTATCAGACTTGGTAAGTCAAAACCATATTCTTTTTTAGATGAATGATTCTATGGAGATAAAATAGGAAAAATTATATGTATTTCAGCTAGTGCTTGTGATGCATGTATACTATACTTGTATGTCTAATCTATATATCATATACCATTGTTGCAGGAAAAGATGAATGCATGTTATCAATTAAATGTATGAACATATATAATTAATTTATTGCATGAATTTGAATACCTGCAAGAAAATCATGATTCTATATATATGTTGGAAATTACAAACAAACTATATATTATACATTATACTGATTGGCAATGGGGAATATGTGATGGGCAGCTAACTAAGTTTATTAGAAAAATAATGCCGAGTTGCTGGACATTTTCACAGTGGCATATGCATATTTTTTATGTACACATTTTTTTATGTGCAAGGATTGATAGATTGGGGGTGCATATTGTTTTTGTCCTGTCTGTTTGTAAACTTTAACCTTCGCCATAAGTGATAACTTTTGAACCAATGAGAGATGGAGACTTCATATATTGTATGCATAGTTCACTTATTAAGTCCTTTCAAATGACACCAAGGTCAATGACCTTGTGACCTTGACTGTGACCTAGATGCTAAAAATAGTTTTTTTTATTGAATATTCACCATAATTTAAAAACCATGAGAAATAGAGACTATATATTTAGTATGCATAATCAACTAATTTAGGTCTTTAAAATGACACCAAGGTCTTTGACAAATAACCTTGGCTGTGACCCATATGCTTAAAATAGATTTTTTGATCCTTCGACATACCGGGGTAACTTTTGAACCATGAAAGATGACAACCTCATATTTGGTATACATTCTCCACTAATTGTGCTCTTTCAAATGACACCAAGGTCAATGACCTTGTGACCTCTGCTGTGATCTTAATGAATTTATATGCTAAAAATAGCCTTTTTAACCCTCCACCATAAATTTTGAACCATACCGGGTAAGAGATAGAGACTTCATATTTAGTATGCATATTTCACTAATTAAGTTCTTTCAAATGACACCAAGATCAATGACCTTATGACTTTGACTGTGACCTATATATGATAAAAATGGGTTTTCAAACTTTGTTGCTGCTTGGGGCATAGTGTTTCAAAAACACATCTTTTTTCAACAAAATTTTTCTATCTTTTCAAAGAATAGCATATTAAGCTTAAGTAGCTATTTCTTACTGACTCTGTAGCTTATCATGCTATTGATTTTTATGTTCCTCATCACAGTTTGTTAATTGCTAGATTGATAGATCATTATTTCTATTAAATACCAATTTATATAGGTATATAGTACTGCAGTGTTGCCCCAATATTGCTGCTGCAAAACCTGAAATAATTAATACATGTTCTGCAATTTCTTTGCAGCAACATTGCCGCAACACCTTTCTGGCAATATTGCGGCAAATCTAATTTACATACGAAAAACGATATTGCCGCAATATTGCTGCAATATACTGCCAGAATGTTGCTACAGTATTGCCGCAATACTTTTCTAATTTACATACGAACCAGAAGTCTCTGTGGAGACTGAAGCTCTACTGGCTTGTACTTCAGGAAAGGAAGAGAAAAGTTGGAAACTGAAACTTTACCACAGCAATAAAAAGAATAATGATCCTTGATTAAGTCTCTTTATGTTCTTAGTGTAGTCTACTTGCATGCCACATTACTTAAACTGTATTTGGAGTAGAATTTTGAGAGTTTTTAACAGAAATTTCTATTTTTAGTAACAACGGCAACACCGTTCATCGAAATCTAAAACCGATACACAGAATTATGTATTTTAGTGTAGTCTACTTGTGTGCCAATTTATATTGAAATCAGACCAAAACTGTAGGAGGAGTAGCATTTTGAAAGAATTTCACAGAAATTTCTATTTTTAGTAACAACGGCAACACCGTTCATGGAAATCAAAAACTGATACACAGAATTATGTATCTTAGTGTAGTGTACTTGTGTGCCAAGTTATATTGAAATCAGACCAAAACTGTAGGAGGAATAGCATTTTGAAAGAATTTCACAGAAATTTCTATTTTTAGTAACAACGGCAACACCGTTCATGGAAATCAAAAACTGATACACAGAATTATGTATCTTAGTGTAGTGTACTTGTGTGCCAAGTTATATTGAAATCAGACCAAAACTGTAGGAGGAGTAGCATTTTGAAAGAATTTCACAGAAATTTCTATTTTTAGTAACAACAGCAACACCGTTCATGGAAATCAAAAACCGATACACAGAATTATGTATCTTAGTGTAGTGTACTTGTGTGCCAAGTTATATTGAAATCAGGCGAAAGCTGTAGGAGGAGTAGCATTTTGAAAGAATTTCACAGAAATTTCTATTTTTAGTAACAACGGCAACACCGTTCATGGAAATCAAAAACCGATACACAGAATTATGTATCTTAGTGTAGTGTACTTGTGTGCCAATGTAATATGTACTGTGGGTTCTCCAGTCATGGAAAAAGAAATATATATAATTTTCCTTACGTTGCCTACGTCAATAATTGATTGGTAAAAATAAACTAAACGAGAATTACGTGGAATAAAATTTACTAAATTTGTACAAGCAATGATTCTCTAATGATTCCTCTAATGTTCCTGAGCTATCCTAGTGCTTTAGCTATCCAAGGTCTGAAATCATTTAATTGAGCTTCCAAAGCTCCCAGACCTTATATCTCAGAGCAGTGTTTCCAAACACCCTCTATAAAACTTATATTATTCCAATAGGTTTGGAACCTAATGTACCCCAAATGGTATGTCTGCAGTATATTGAGACCCGCAAATGAGGCACAATAAATTCCTTACCTTTTTAACACGATCCACGCTGATCAGCGGCCACTGGCAGACTAACTACGAGCATCAGCGCTCGCCAGTATTTATAGTTACCCAAAGACCCTAAGTCATCGTCTTTGTCTTAGTCATTAAAACGTTTAATGTTATATAGCTAATACACTAGGAAGCATCTGATTGACAACTAATTTGCATATAATTAATTTGATCAAGGAAATTTCTACTACATTACCCACGCCTCCGAAACATATGCGTCCCGCATATCACTTAAATAAAACATTTTTTTTTCTTCTTTTACTTTTCAATACACATACTTCAAATTCCAGTAATTATTTACAATGAGTTTTAAAGGTAATGCAATATCTCTTGACATTCCCGCAAAAAAAATAATAATCGAATGAGTCCTATCAATAAACATTTTGCTCAATGTACTTGTTACTCGACAGAACACAAAGTGTCATAAAACACTATTCTTCACTCCAAATAGAAGAATTCCTCTTCTTCGACAGTTTCCACAATGTTCTTTTGGTCATTGGTGTACGTTGACACCACCTTGTGAACTTTTCTTTTCTTAACGTATCTGTCTTTACAACCACAATTGGTTTGCGTAGCTCTCGTGCATGTACTTGTAGATCCAAATGAAAATCTCCCAAGTGGTGTTGGTTTCTCAGGAAGAGAAACAGGGGTCCTTCTCTTGGGTGCAAACACGGGTGCTGGAGCCGTGGCTTTTCGAACTACCCGTCCTTTTTCTTGAGATTTTACTTTGATATCAACACTTGCTTCTTCATTCATGCTTTTGACATCTTGTGAATCTTGTTTGGTTTCATCATGATCTCCAATACATGCATTATTCATCAGTTCACCAGCACCTTTATCACCATCATCATCCTCGCTACTCGAATCATCAGGCTGGGAACTGCTCTCGCTGACACTTAGGTTTTCATGAATTACATCTCCGGGATCTTGTTCAAGCCATGATTCGTCTTCCTCGTCTTTCTTTTCTTCACTTACTTTGATCTTCTCATTTGTTTTATGCTGATCTTCGGTTTGTTCATGGAACTTCCTATTATGACGAATCAAATATAACCTTTTTCTCGAAAAGTTTTCCACACACTTTGCATGGATATCTTCCTCCATTGCAAGCTAGCAAATGTTCCCTCCAGCGACTACCGTCTACTTCGCCATCACACAAGGGGCATTTGTTTTCCTTAGCTTTTGTAATTTTCGTATTTGCCATCTTAGCTGAAATAATAAAGAAATAAAATAGTTACATCTCTATTCTATAAACAAAGCAAACGTAATTATCTCTGCTACTTCTTAGTTTAATAATTCTAAGTTTCATAATCATTTAACCATTTGGGTTTTCTACGAATACGTTTATGG